TCTTGATCATGATTCTCAAAGCATGTCTCAAAAAGTCTCAAGATGCAAAAGTTTTTATTTTTGGACAGTTGAAAAAGTCAACTGCAAATTGACCAAGGCATAACTTCTTCATGTTTTATCAGAAAAATTCCATCCAAAGCTCATTTTGAAGAGGATGAAATTTCCTACAACTCATCTTCACACTTCAAGTCCAAGAAATGCTCTCACAAAAAGTTATCAATTTCAACATTATAGGTCATTTTCAAAAGTCAACAAAAAGGCACTTTAACTCAAAGACCATAACTTGAGATTGGTAAATCAAAATGACATGGGACCAAAGGCATTGGTTAGAGAACTTCAAGACCTTTCCAAAATGTCCAAGAACATGTTCATAGCTTCAAAATTGAGCAAGATATGCCTTGAAGAAGTTGGGAAATATTTGGGAATTTTGAAAAGTCAACTTTGCCTAAAACACTTCAAAAATGCTAATGGGCCTCAAATTCTTCCTTGAATCATTACCCAAAGCATATGCACGACCCATTAAGCTCAAAGGGATTTATTTTCTTATTTTTAATTAATTAATTGAATTTTTATTTATATTAATTCATTTAATTAGATTTAAATATGAAAAAATATCAAATAATACTTTTCAAATCTTTTTGTGCAGCAAATTCACTCATTATGTGCTAAAGATTTTGTGCATCAATCAACAAGGCAATATCTTCCACAATTGGCAAGGGTTTCATGAGAAAAAAAAAGATTGAAAAAGATATGGAAAAAATCAAATATTGAAATCATTAATTCAATGGATTCATGGGCTTGTTTTGACCTAGAATGCTTCCCATACATATGCAAAACCTAACCTAATGCAAAGATACACGAAAAACTGCTCAGAAGCTGCATAACCAATTTGCAATTTTTGGCCAAAAACTTGAAAACTGATTTCATAGTTAGGGCACGATTCGAAGCTTCAAAAGCATTCCAATACGTTGTAAAAACATCCAGGAAGCGTTTGCAATCGAGAACGAGTCAAAACGTGCAAGGAATTGAAGGATACAGATCACACGGTTTGCCAAAATTCCTTGAATTCCATATCATGATTCATGCACTTTTAGCCATTTTTCTTGATTGATTTATACTAATATTAACTTTCTGAAGCGATTGGTACCACTTAATTATGATAATGTTGCCTAAAGCAAAATCTGCCATTGATGAAACCTAGGGTTTCAGAACTCCAAAATTGGGGATTCTCATGTATGGAAAAATTGGACCTTTAGACCCATACCACTGAATTCGTGACATCAAGACGAAGCAAACCATCTCCTCGCGCTTAATTTATGTTACCTGTATGCGTGTTCGCTATTTTCCACTTTTGCACTTAGTGGGGGTTTAAAACCCTCACTATTTGGTTATGTTGCAGGTACAACGATGAAGAAGAAGGCTAGCGTGTCATCAAATGATTGGACAATTCAAACCTTGGCGCGGTTTTTCAACGTTCCAGCATAATGACTTTTTTTTCATATATATTAATTGATGTCCATTATGTTGACAAACGCGTATAACAGCTCAGTTGGTGGAAGACATGGTTGGTAAGCATTGGGACCTGGGTTCGATTCCCAGGTCCCCCCACTTAATTCATAAATTTTGTTATAATGTGTTTCTGTGCAGCATCCCTTCAACGCTCCACCATACATCCTCACATGTTAGCCTGCCACGCACTCATGATGGTCAATCTGAAGACCATAAAAGGAGTTCTACCATGTACCTCAGTCAATGGACATGCACGCAAGCGTGGAAAGTCAACAAGGCTTAGTTCTGATGGGCCTGAATTGCTGCAAATACCTCCCTAATGGGCCTGATACCCCCTGTGTTTGTACTCTATTTTTAATTTTCTTTTCTTTTCTTTTTAATTCTTTTTATTGCTTTAATTATTTATTTAATTCACCTAAATTAATTTTCATATTATAAAAAAAATCAGAAACAAAAATTGCAAAAAATATTTATTAATTCACCATTAATTTATTTTGTAAATAAACCCTAAACATTAATTTAGTAAATTAGGTTTTAAAACTTTAATCTTTTCTTAAATAAAATAAAATAGGTAGAATTAGGGTTTTGACATTTTCATCTTTTTTCTTAAATAAATAATTTTCTCATTATTATTATTATTAATTACTAAATATTTTTGTAAATAAACATGTAATTTAATTAATTAGTGTAAATTAGATTAACTTGAATATTTTCTTAAATAATTAAAAACAATCTAGAATTAGGGTTTCCTTGTAAATTCTTTATTTCCATAAATACAAAAACCTAAAAAACATTTCTTTTCTTTAATTAAATAATAATTAGACTTTAATTTCAATTTAATTTCAAAAGGGTCAAAACCCTCGGACGTCCTAACTTTTATTCTTTCGCACGTTATTATTTTTTCTTTTCGAATATTATGTAACTGCTCAAGGCTTGTAATAGTAATTAGGTCTTTTACTTTCCGCATTTTTTACTAAACGGGTCTTTGTAATTTGGCGATGTATAGACCCGCGCCTTGTAATAGCGTAGGATTTATCTTTCCGCATTTAAATTTCCGCACTCTAAATTATAATTGCATGAAAGAATGTATGGCTAATTAAAAACAAGCATAGCTCACAATGATGCATGATCCAAGATAAATTTAACATGAAAATAACACACAAATTCACACACCACCTCTAGGGTACGCCTCACTGTTGCCTTACTTTCGAAACGTGGTCGTCGAGTATAGGACGTTTTAGTAAGTCCTTATGTCCATGATCCAGTTGCCTCGAAACGGTTGCCTCGGATTAAAAAAGGATCAATGGCATAAGGGTAGCTTCTAAGGTGTCCTACTGTTGCTCTGGTGACCACACTGTCTCTAAAAAATGAATTGACCCGAACACCTCCAATGGTGGTGATACCTACCTCTCAATGGTGGGATGGCACTACCTTAAGGAAATTTACACAGCCTAATTCCTTAGGGTAGGTAGATGACTCATAGATACTTGCTCTATTCAAAAACAAATCAAAACTCTTTTCACACCGACACTTTCAAAACAATTTTTCAAACACTCTTGAGGACTGATACAAGAGTTATTCAGAAAACTTTAAACGGAACTTTTTCAAACCCACTCACAATTGAAAAGCAAACACTTTTGAAAACACAATGAGCAAGTATCTAAGAGCCCATGGATAGCCATGGATAGAAAGGGTGCTAACACCTTCCCTTTCTATAAATCTACCTCCCGAACCGAGAGATAATATCATAAGGAATTTTGCTGTGCTTTTGTCCTTTCCATGTTGGAGAAAATAAAAGACGGTGGCGACTCTTGCTTCCGCGACATTTCGCGAACCAGGGTTAAACAGTCAGTTCTAAATCCACCGATCACAGCAGCATTTTCGAATTCTGTGAAGTCTAGTCATTACTAGCGTTTTTGGATCAAGTTCCATAATTTTAGATCCCTATCTCTCATCTATAAACTCGTTCTTTATTCCAGGTTAAGAGGCCATCAAAATTTTACCTTGTATTGATATTCTTCGTCTCAATTCAGAGTGAAAATTTTTGAGTTCATTTTTGTATTCAATCTCCTTCCACCTAATCGCTCGAAAGGCTGTCGTTGCCAATCTCACTTTAGGTTTAAGAAGATTGAATTGGGGAAGCTGTTATACCCCAAAATTTTTCGTCTTAATTTTTTTATTTGTTTAGGCTTTTTCACTCATTTGCATATATCCCATTAGGTTACTAACATAACATACATTTTATTCAATAAAGCGCATGAGGTTCAAAGTTCATTGGTCGTGTAATATTTGGGTGCAATGGTGGTTTGAGGTGTACATATCCAATAAAGGATGATTTCTTCTCCAAACGATGAGAAGTAAAATTAGGGATTTGTCACATGGATGTCTTTCTATGCTTCCAGTTTCATCTGAGTCAAAGGATTTCCTCAAGGGCATAAATTTTGTGGTGAGGTTGTTGGCTTTCAAGTTAATATGGCTTGTGGTTTGAATCTTACATCATCTAGCTCAAAGGCTATAATCTATATTGGAAATGGAAAAACTGAAATTTAGGAATGTTGTTATTAAGGGTGGACAACACTTGGATTCTGGTGTTTTCTTGGGGCAAATAATAGTTATTCCACTTTAAATGATAACCATGTCTATTTGTAACAATCCGTTGAAAGTCCTCATGCAATATCTCCGAGAGGTAGTGTGCATAAAACACCATCCCAGAATAGTGCAGCTAATAGCTCTGTGGAGGTTATCGGTGAGCTTCTGGCTATTGGTCTAGAGCTTACGTTTTATAACATATCAAAAGATGTAGGGGAATCATCAAAATTGTCTAATAAACTTCTACTAGCACAGTTGGATGCATTTTGCAGGCTTGTTTTGAAGGGTAACAACACTGAGATGAGTGCAGATGTACTTGGTTTGGTTATGGAGAGTAATGGGATCAGGATTCTGGAGCCATTTGATACATATTTGAAGTATTCAAATGCTTATGGGAAGACCAATATGCATTTATCTGTTTATGATATATTCATGAATTTCAGCTCAGTATCTTGAGATTATTTCTAGTAAGTGGAAGATGATATTCTATCATTTTTGAGGATGACATCAAAGAAAATAACTATTATTTGTTTTCACTTTGACAAAGTTGGAGTCATAGAAAATCGTGACATGGGCCATATTCAATCCAAAGAAAGAAGACATGGGCCATATTCATTTACACTTGCAACCATGACATTCATATTACATTCCATAGAAAAAAATACATAAATGAAAACCTAAAACTAAGCTCCATTGATCGTCTTCGTGAACCATGCCTATGGAAACCCACGTCAAACCGATCTTCCAATACTTTTAAAAGTCCTTTCCATTTCCTTCTTCATGGCCAAAGATCTTGAACACAAAAAAAATTGTTATCTGTATAAACCAGTTAACCATATAAACCTGTAAAATAAATTCCTGTTGTAAAAAAGTTCCAAATCTGCATTCAACCAAACACCAGTTCACAACAAAAACCGGTTCAAAACCGAACTGACTGTTAGACTCAACCAGCCCTGCATACAATTGTCAAAATCGTTCCAGGCCTGCACCAAACTTGACTCCAAATGCGACAGCCCTGCTATGTTCACAAACATGATAAAAAAACTCGGTTCAATAGTCCATAATTTTGAAACCATAAAATAGTAAATCAGCCCTGCATTTTGTATATACTAGTCAAAATCAGAAGAAAAAATGGAAAATAGCAGAAAATCAAGAAATAACGGCTAATAGTAGAAACAGAAAAATCCGAAACTAACAGAACCAACTAATTTTCACTCCTAACTAACTCTAACAGAATTCTAATTGCATAACCAACTTCACAGATCTCTAACCGATTCTTAACTACCTCTAAGAGACTAACAAAATTATAAAACAGAGAGCTCACCACTTTCATCTGGATTCTTCACCGCCTGGAGAATCACCACAAGAATCTCAAAAATTCTCTCCCTCTTCAATCTCCATCTCTCTTCTCCTATCCTCTTCAATTCTTCAATCTCTGCAGAAGAATCACCAAAATTATGTATTCTTCCTCTCTTCCATATCTTCATAGTCAATTGCTGTCTTCTCTGAATTTTCTTTGAATATCCTTCAATCATCATCACCTACTACTGCACATCTTCATCTTCTTTGTTCCACCTTCAATGTTTATTTGCTGCAACAACAATAATTCTATTTCAACATTCTTCCACCAATCACCATCCTCTCGCAATCTTTTTGCAAACTTCAACCTTAAAAAAAACATGTCAACATCCCTTCATTCTGCTACAAAATCATAACACTTAAAAATGTGAAAATAGGAAAGAAGAAGTATAAACGCGATAGAGAAGAGCTACGATAAGCAACGAAGAGAAGCAGCGGCACCTGATTCACCGCCGAAGGCCAAATTTCATTCTCAGGTTAGAAATCTTTGCACTACTCGCTTTAATTTCATTCTAAATCAACACCGCTTGCATCAAACTTCTCCAATTCACTTGAATCTGTAACATATTGGATTTAGGGTTTATGACTTCTGGGTCTTTGATTGCGTTGATTGAGGAGGAGATATTGAAATCTGATGCTAGATTTGTGTTCAAGGGACCGAAATAGGTAGGGTTCATGTTCATCTTGTGGCGGTTCGATGGAGGCCTCCGGCGGTGAAGGCGATGATGAATTCGTCATGTTTTGGCAAGAAGAAAAGAGAGTTTGTGAAAGTTGAACCGTCACATTCTAGATATGAATTACAAAACGTGTGTGTTGTACCCCAAAATTTGCTCTCTCATTTTCTTCAAGTCATTCTTCTAAGATTCTCAAAATACTCAAGGATTCTCAAGATTCTCAAGAGTTGATCAGACAAACTCACCTTCTAAGCAATGGGCCCACGACTAGGGTTTCATCTTGTATAAGGAAGAATGGGTTTCAAGGGTATAAAATGACTTTCATGGTTAATCATAGATCCTCAATAATGCTTATGTCAAGTTTCAAGCCTTGCATCACAAGTTTCCTCAGTCAATTGCTCAAATGACTGAAAATAAATTGTATTGGACAAAAAGTCAACTATGGTCAACATATAGTCAAACTTCAATATTTTTTGTCAACATCAACATTTTGAAGTGATATTAATAATTTTATCAAGGGTTGACCATGATTCCTCAAGGAAAGCCCTCAAATCATCAAAGGTAAAAAATGCCAAAATTAGGGTTTTAATTGAAAATGACTAATCATTGACTTTTGGCCTAGTGCATGACCTAATGACCTGAAGCATGATCTCAAGAGCTCAAATATAACATTTTTACCTAATTAAATGGATCAATACATTTCCAAAGATACAAGTGATTGATAGTTTAAGGATTGAATCAATTGATAAAAAGTCAACAGTCACACGAAAGTCAAACTTTGACTTTTTGGTCAATATTAGAATTCAAAAATCAAGAATCATCAAAATATTCAAAACTATCAAACTTTGTCATCAAGAATCAAGAAATTCAACAAAATTCAAAAGTCAAGATTTTCAAACACTTAGAAAAAATTCAAGTGTTTTGTACTTAAAAAACCCTAACTTCACAAGCAAGTTTCCTCAAGATTCAAGTTGATTCAAGGAAAACTTTCAACACGAAAGTTGTAGGGATTGATGAATTCTACAACTTTGTTAATGTGAGGTGATCCTCAAAAAGTGGTTAATTTGAGAGACATACGCCCATGAAGTTATGATGTTTTTTGTCCGACACTTAGAAAATGTTTTACAAGTTTTGATCAGTTTTTTATCCCAACTTCTTTACCAATTTCCACCAAGTTCCCATTTGATTTAGCCAAAGTGGTCAACATGAAAGTTATAGACAATGTTTAAAGCTTTCCAAAATATTCAAGAACACAAATTTATCATGCTTGAGCAAGGTGAATCGAAGAGATGAAGTTAGGCATTTCAGGCTTGAATTTCAAGTAATTTTGTGAAGAACTCAAGAGAAAATCTCCTAACTTACCATGAAATCTCACTTTTCAGGCCATATTGCTTCTAAATATCCATATAATCAGATATTTACACGAAATTATTGTGCATTACACAAGGATTTGAAGCTTTATCCACTTGAACATACCATTTTTGGATGAAATTGAAAAAAGCTCCATATCCATTTACATAAAGACCACTTTAATCACAAAGTCCACTCCTTGAGCCTCTAACTTGTTTATTTTGATCACACTCAACATGAGTGCTCAGAAGCAACATCTCTAAGCCTACCAACCACCCTACAATGCATTAGAACAATGTTTCTTCAAAGTTACTTCAAAACTAAGCTTCCAAACCACAACTTGTGATCTTACAAATCTGGTTGTTTCAACCTCAAAAACCCCTTGCCTATAAATAGAGAGATCATTTGCAAGCTAATGGATGATTTCACAAACCCTCAAGGGAAGGATTGCGTTTTGTGTTTTTTGTTTGCAAAATGTCGCGGTAAGAAAGAGTCGCCACCGACTTTTATTTTATCCAACAAGGAAAGGAAAAAAGCACATAAAAATTCCTTTTTTGAGATTTTCTGAGTACGAGGGGTAGATTATAGAAAGGGAAGGTATTAGCACCCTTTCTATCTGTAGTTATCTACGGGCTCTTAGGTACTTGCTCAATTGTTTTCAAAATATTGCTTTCTTTGTGCTTGTGGGTTTGAAAAAAGTTTTCATTTTGAAACTTCGATTTAACTCTTGCGTCTGTCCTCAAGAGCGTATGAAATGTTTTTGAAAACTTTGTTCGAAAAGGAATGTAAGTGTGAAAAGTTTTTGTTTTTGAAAGAGCAAGTATCTAAGAACCATCTACCTACTCGAAAAAATAATCGTTCTATGCTAATTTCCTTTAGACAATGCTATCCCACTATTAATGAGTAGGTAGCACCGTCGTTGGAGTTTAAGGGTCAATTCGAATGAGGGACATGCGGTCACTAAAGTAATGTTAGGACGCCTTAGCGGTAACCCTAATGTCTTAGATCATTTGTTTGAGGCAACAATATCCGAGGCAACCATTTCAGGGCGACTATGATCTCTTAGACAAGAGGGCGACCTCTAAAGTGACCTATACTCAATGACCGCGTACGAAGGCAACCAAGTGGGGTGTACGCTAAGAGTGCGCATGTGCGAGTGTGTCGTTTTCAGTTATTTTTATATTTGTACATGTTAAGGGTGATCAAATTTGATTTTAAGATTAAGCATTTAGTCTTGTCATGCATACCCTATTATCAAACATCTAGCAGTTATAATTTGCGGAATTAAAAGTGCGGAAATTAAATTACAAGGCGTCGGGTATTTACATCGCCAAAGACAAACCCTTTGAAAAATAAAATAAAGCGATAAAAGTAATTAAATGTCCTATTTAACTACTACAATCTGGAAGCAGGTACATTATTGGATAAAAGAAAGTAAATCGCAGTGCAAAATTAAATCAGACGCATGATTAGGGTTTTGACCCTTTTGGTTAAAGAAGGTATCCTTTTGTTATTTTTATTTTAAGAAAGAAATTAATCCTAAATTAATTACTAATTTAATTATAAAGTAAATTAATTAATGAAAAAAAAATTATTTTTGGAGTTTTTTGATTATTTAGGAAAGAAATTATAATAATTAAATTAATGGTTAAAAACTAGTTAAGTCTAATTAATTTTATTTATTTTTTCAAAAGGAATTAAAGTTCTCTAATTAAAACCTAATTAATTAATAAATTTATTAAGAAAAATAAAAGATTAAAATTTGATTTGAAATAAAAAAAAATATTTTTTTGTGATTTTATTTGATAAAAAGACAGAATTTAGATTGGTTAGAAAAATTAAATAAAAATAATAAAACAATTAAATAAACAAACAAAATAAATAAAGAGAGGAGTTTAGGCCTGAATTAAGGGGTGTTGATAGCAATTCCATGAGCCCACTTATGCTGGCCTTTTTGACTTTCTGGGATCCAATATGCACGCATGGACTTGGCCTATGGTGGACCTCCAATCATGGACCACCAGATCTGGCCTTTGGCCATCTGGCACTTGAGTGGATGAAGGACTATGGTGTACTGAAAGCTTGTGCGCGCATGGGAATACCTGAAAAACAAAATTATTGAGAAAGTGGGGGACCTGGGATTCGAACCCAGGTCCTGAAGGAGTTTGCACGCTTGCTTTGCCACTACACCATATTGTTTCAATTGTTATTATAATGTAAACAAATAATATTATATGAAAACACAATAATTGCCAGAAAAAAAACAAAAAGCACGCGCTTCGTTTGAATGGCCCAATGATGGGACGCCACGCATCATCCCCAACCTCTCGTCCGTGGCTAAAAGGTCACAAACCTATACCAACGGACAGAAGTCCGTAGCTATAAGCAAGTCCACATCTAAAACCCTGTACAAGCCATAAAAATGATTTCCAAAGGCATAGTCATGTTTGTCTCAACCTCCCTGTCATGACCATACCCTTCATGGAGGTCAATTGTTCCTGAAATAAAAATGCCCAAAAACTCCAAGCAAAACCTAGCTATGGAGAATTGTAATACAGACCGTATAAATGAAATTAAATGATGCAAATAGCTTGGAAATGTTCTTATGATTACAAATATGCCAATAGTTTTCTCAAAGGATGCAAGAACAAGTCAAATTGATTTCAAGAACAGGGATGTGTTTCATGAGACTTACAGTTCTTGTAGAGGCCTGAAAATGCTTGCTTTTGATCCAGATAGCTTGTGTGAATGCCCAGGAAGCGATTGGGACAAGTCCCGTGTCCTGAAACTGCCTCTAACTTGGACTTTGATCTCCCACTTTTTTGAGAATTTTTCAATTCTTGTTCTGCCTCTCTCAACAGTTTCCAACTTGTTTTCGTGTCTTTGCCTTCCTTATGTAATGCTCAGTGCATTAGGTCAACAAAATTGATCCAAATCTTGCCTTATCAATGCTTGCATATTTGATTTTATCTCCCTTTACAAACTTGCCAATTTCGCCTAATTCCAATCTTTTTGCACATGATTTGGTTTGATTCGAATTTGATGATGATAATGATTGTAATCAAAGCCTGAAATAGCCAAAAGATCTTGTGTTATTAAAGTGTTGGATTTTATATGAATTTATTTGATTTAAAATGAATAAATTCAATTAAAAA